TGTAGCTGTTGCGAAGTGTGTTTGCGCTTGTCTGCTTTTGCTTGCTTGCTTGCTTGCATTGGGTTGCTGATTTCACCACAACTCATATCTTACACCTCCTCCACCATCATCACCACTCCCATGCATCGTCACGGTAGACTATGGCCTGCGGCAGTTGCAGGCGCATCAGCAGAAGGACGAGGAAGCGGCGATGAACGGGGCGTCGACGCTTCGCTGGACAGCGCCGGAGCTGCTCTCGGGCGTGTCTGCCATTGACGACATCCTTGAGGGAACCCAGCAAGGCGACGTCTACAGGTGCAGTCGGTGGCAGTGAGATGTGTGTGCGTGTGTGTGTGAATGGGGAAAGGGATTGAGCTCAAAGAAAGAGGAGAAGAGGAGGGCTGTGGTTGTGTACAGATGTGGTTGTGGCACTGCCACAGTCTTCTCGGCTCATTCAACACCCTCATCTGATATGCATGCTTGCTCCATCGCCCCTCCCCCCGCCAACGCTCGAATCCCCACAACAGCTTTGGCGTGATGATGAACGAGGTGTGGACGCGCGAGCAGCCGTACGACGACTTTGCGCTGTCGATGGAGGAAGTGATTGCCAGTGTCTCTGCCAGCGCCAACCAGCAGGCGCTTGTGCAGCCGCTGCCTGCGAGGCACAACCAGGTTGCACCAAAGCCAATCCAGGTCAAGTCTGCGTGGACATCGCCCAAGGACGGCACTGACGGCTCGCTTGTTCGCCCGACGGTTGCGGAGGACACACCACAGGGCCTGAAGGAGCTGATGGAGCAGTGCTGGCACCCGGACCCTGCGCAGCGGCCCGCGTTCCGTGAGATCTGCCAACGCCTCGACGCCCTGCACCCAACAGAGGGCAGCATGGTCGACAACCTCATCTCAATGGTGCGTGTTGGGGTGGGGGGAGGAGAGGGAGCGTGTGTGTGCATGTATGTACTTTTGTTTGTGTGTGTGGGTGTACTTTGTTTGTTTGTGTGTGTGTGTGTGTGCTTTGTTTGTGTGTGTGTATCTACTTTTGTGTGTGCGTGTGTGTGTTTAGGGCGTGATGCCATGGCACAACACGTGTGCGGCATTTTTCTTCACGCTGTTTTTTCATGCCTGTTTGCCATCTTCCACACACACACGCACACACACACTGCTTTGGGCTGTCTCCGTCCATCTTTTCATCTGTGCACCTGTTCATTTGTGACCATGTTCACACACCGCCATCCCTTCTCATCTTCACACCTCACCACACCTCCTCATGTTCACGCAGCTGGAGAAGTACTCGCAGAACCTCGAGGGCATTGTGAGCGAGCGGACCAAGGAGCTGGCTGCGGAGAAGGAGAAGGTGGAGGAGCTTGTGTGCCGCATGCTGCCGAAGCAGATTGTGGAGGACCTGAAGGTTGGCAAGAACGTCAAGGCCGAGAGCTTCGACAACGTCACCATCTTCTTTTCCGACATCGTCGGCTTCACGCGCATCTGCTCGCAGAGCACGCCACTGCAGGTGCGCTCGTGGGGTGTTGGGGGGGGGGTTGTGTAAATAAGGGGTGTGATGAGGAAGGAAGAGAAGCACGCTGTGCGCTGCGCTTGGTGGTTGATTCGATTGCTTCATTGTCTCACTCAAACGACCAACACGCCACAACACAACAACACCGCTGTGATGCGCAACAGGTGGTTGACATGCTGAATGACCTGTACACGCTCTTCGACACGATCATCGAGGACTACGATGTCTACAAAGTGGAGACCATTGGCGACGCCTGTGAGTTGGCCGTTGTGTGTGTGTGTGCTTGTGTTGCTTGTGTGTGTGTGTGTGTATACGTTGAGCCTTGGTTGCTGTGTTGCTCGTGTGTGTGTGTGCTTGTTTGTATTGCTTGTGTGTTTGCTTGTGTGT